CTGTATCTGAAGCTGATTCAGATGCTTACCTTGTTTATTCAAACGCTGTTTTTTGCCTTTTAGCATGCCTTGTAATTTTTTTGTTGAAAGCTGGACGTGACGTAAAAGGAACTATGATAAATAGGCCCTTCGTGTGAGGCTGTGTTTATCTGGCCAGGGATTGGGCTGTATTTACCGTTTGTTGCAGCTGTGGTGTCGGGGCTAGATAGGATCTGAGGGTCTCCTGTTGTATAGGAGCCTGCTGACCGCGGTGGGTGGTGGGTGGGTGTGAGGGGAGCACTCTCTAGTCCTGTGAGTAGTAGGTCTCAGTCCTCCAGTGAGCCTGTGCACCTCGGCTGTGACCACCATGTGTGCTTCTCGCTTGGTTTTGTTTTTCCTCCTTAGGCGAGATAGAACGGCTAGGGGGGCTGGAGTTGGGTATTTCCCTTCCCCCAGGTGGGTCAGGTGCTGGAAAAATAGTTTTCCTTGAGAATAGGCACTTGTTAAGGATAACAGGGTGCTCTGGTCATAGTTTAAAATCGTTTCTTTTCCCCTCTCCCTGCCAGAAGCACGAGGGGATTTTTCTCCAGTCTTCACCCTGAGAACCTGGTGGGGCTTCTGGAGGCAGAATTCACACAAATGTGGGCCCCATATAACTGGCCCTGGAATTTTTGTCTCAAGCCTGTCCACACCCGTGTCCAGCACATTGTCAGTTTCCTCCTGGTGCTCCTGCTGTGCTGGCTCCCATGGCTTCTGCTCCCAGGGAGCTGCAATTCTCTGTCCCCTGTCACTCTCTCCAGTTTTGGGGGCAGCGGTTTGCCCTGTGACTCCGTTCTCTGATGGATCTAAGAAGAGTTGTTGATTTTGAGTTTGTTCAGCATTTTTCTTATGAAGATGGGAGTGACGGCTTCCAAGCTCTTTACATGTTGAACCAGAGACGGGAGTCCAGCATTACCCCTTTTTAACAGAGACCTTAAATATGCAAGTTAGTGAAGACTGAGGAATGTCGAATACAAGAGATCTGTTCTTGGGAAGAAATCAGTAACCCATTAAAAGAACATTAAAAAACTGTGTTAGTTGGTAGAGATATGACGTGAATACAGCCTACATGGCGCTGTGTCTGTATTCACAACCTCCTGTACTCGTTAGGCCCTTGTTGTTGAGCTTTGTTAACCAAGTCCTTCATGGCCACGTGTCACTTCATTTCTCTATTTGTACTCATTCCTCTGCTGGCCCTTTGTGATTTATTAAGTTTATCTTTAGTAGGGTTGTGCAGCACCATTGTTTTCAGTTCCCAACAGTGACCTGGAAACACAAGCCATCCTTGTCTGTTCTTTTAGAATCCAGATTCCACCAAATGAGTTTTCAGATTTCCTTTGCAGGACTCCTGATGACAACACTGATGCGGTATAGTTGGAAGCGTGGGAGCGTTCTCCTTAGCCTGTAGAGATTTCTCTCAGAATTCAGAGCATTCTTGGAGTACACTTCCTAGAGGAGGGCCTCTGCTTTGAGCCAGAACTGAGGCCAGTGGGCCTGGTGGCAGGAATGCATGAGGCTCTCGCTGCACTCTCTGTGGGGTCCGTGATGGTGTTGGCTGATCTTCCTTTTCTCATGGCACTTTCTCTCTTCACTTTCTTTCAGTACTTAGGTCAGTTAACGTCCATACCAGGATACCTGAATCCCTCCAGTAGGACCGAAATCCTGCATTTCATAGACAATGCAAAGGTAACCCCATCCTCCTGACCCCATCCTCTGACCCTTGGCCTGCTCCACTTCCCAACCCCGACCTCTGACCCTCAGCCTGCTCCACCTCCCAACCCCTACCTCTGACTCTCAGCCTGTTCCACTTCCCAACTCTGACCTCTGACCCTCGGTCTGCATCAACTTCTAACTCCAACCTCTGACCCTTGGCCTGCTCTACCTCCCAGCCGTGGCCTCTGACCTTCAGGCTGCACCAGCTCCTAACCCCAACCTCTGACACTCGGTCCGCTCCACCTCCCAACCCCACCTCTGACCCTCAGCCTGTTCTACCTCCCAACCCCGACCTCCAGGCCTTGGCCTGCACCACCTCCAACCCTGATGTCCGACCCTCAGGCTGTACCACCTCCAACCCTGACCTCTGACCCTTAGCCTGTACTGCCTCCAACCTCGACCTCTGACTCTTGGCCTGCAGCACCTCCAACCGCGACCTCCAACCCTTGGCCGGCAGCACCTCCAACCCTGACCTCCAACCTCAGCCTGCACCAGCTCCTAACCCCAACCTCTGACCCTTGGTCTGCTCCACCTCCCAACCCCAACCTGTGACCCTTGGCCTGTTCCACCTCCCAACCCTGACCTCTGACCCTTGGTCTACTCCACCTCCCCACCCTGACCTCTGACCCTTGTACTCTGGCACCAGCTCTTGGTCCTCTGAACCTGGGCCTTCATGGCTATGAAGGATGACCCAGTTCCACCATGTTATGGATGCATTTGGCTCTTGGCCAACAAAGACTGTTCCTCAGTCTGAACATTAACTTTATTCTCTAGACTTGCTTCTTGAGGTTTTGAGCTGTTTTCAAAGTTCACGTTTTCAAGATATCCCAACCACACACCATAGGTCTGAATCTAAAGGCAGTTCCGGAAGAACCCCCCACATGATTTGAATGTGGCAGCGCCCCTGGAGCAAGCATGGCTACGCTGAAGGGAGCGGCACTTGCTTCATTAGCACTGGCCGTGTGGGCTCCATCCGCCAGCACACGGTGAAGGGTTCCTAGGGGAGCCCGCAGCCAGGGCCCTGTGTTTCTGACGCCCTGTGGTTCCTTCTAGAGAGCCCACCAGCTCCCCGGACACTTGACCCAGGAGCATGATGCTGTGATCAGCCTGTCTGCCTACAACGTCAAGCTGGCCTGGCGGGACGGGGAGGACACCATTCTCAGGGTCCCCATCCATGACATTGCTGCCGTGTCCTATGTGCGGGATGATGCCTCACACCTGGTGGTCCTAAAGACAGGTACGGACCTGGGGGGTGGGCTCAGAAGGGTCCTTGGCAGACATGGCTCACGTCTTTGTCCTGAGGAGTGAGTCTGTGGGTTTAATGGACCTCTGGAGACAGTTTCTACAGTGCTGAGTCAGCTGCTGCTGCCCACTGTGCCTGAGAACTGGCCCTCCTACTCCGAGATCAGCCTTGGCCAGAGGAGGGCAGTGACCCAGGAGGTCGTGAGGAATAGGTGCTGAGCCTGGCCACTCTCACTTGGAGCCTCACGGGTCTGCCACTCTACCCGGCAGTGCCCCCTTCCAGGATGCTGGAGTATCCTCTGGCATGCAGGCATGGGAGAGCCCTGAGAGCAGGTGGTACCGAAGGCTGTGGGTGGGACCTCAGCTCAGCCCAGCCAGTGACTGGGCCCTGCCTTTGGCCATGCAGTCTTCCCAAAGCTGAGGGTGCAGATGAGACCGTCTTGGAGCTTGTGGTCTGTGAGACATTCTGAGCATATCCTTGTAGCAGAATCAGAAAGAACCTTAAACCAGACGTGCCCCCTTCACTCAGCCCGTTTCCCTCACCTGGTGGTGAGAGAGCAGTGCCACCTTACTGGGCACTTCTGGACAAGCCACCTCTCAGGTTCCGCAGCCTCTGCCTTGGCATCAAGTTACTGAGAAATGAGCAGAGAAGTCATGGTTTCGCTCGTGCTGTGCCCTTCCTGGTGGGGATCTGAGGTTGACGCTGCAGCACTGATTCTGTTCTGGGCTCCTTCGGGCACTGATGTCGGCTGGGTTGAGCCCCGAAGCCATTCTTTTCCAAAGGGCCAGTGGCGGGGTGTGAGGCTGGCCAGATGGATCTGCCTGGAGCACACTTCAGGCAGCTCAGAGAGAAGGTTGTTTTTCTGCTGGAGCTCAGTAGTTCATGGAGGATCCAAAGGCTTTTCTTAAGAGCCAGGGCCCTGGAGAGCTTTCTCAGCACTGACCCCTTGAGCTTGGATGAGCTCTAGCACTGGTCAGGAAGCTACTGGCTCATGAATCTGCTGGGGTGCTGCGGGCCCACCCACACAGGCAACTGTAGTCGTGTGAAGGTGGCTGCCGGAGTTCCAACCCCTCGGCTTTGTGTAGCTGTTGCTTAGGACCTGTGGGGACAGCCTGTGTGACTGCGGCTGGAAGTGCTCATGGCCAGGTGCTCCTGAGGGGTTGGAAGTGGGCTCTTTAGAGACAGCACAAGTGTGCTTCCTGGTGAACAGCCATAGGTGCAAGCCATGGAGCTACTTAAAATGTTCTAGTAGCCACGTTAAAAAAAGTAAAAAGAGTCCCATTTGCAACAACATGAATGGGCCTGGAGGGTATTATGTTACGTGAAGTAAGCCAGAAGGAGAAAGACAAACACTGTATGATCTCACTCATATGTGGAATATAAACCAACACATGGACAGAGAAAACTGTATTGTGGTTACCAGGGGCAATGGGGGTGGGGGGTGGGCACAAGGGGTGAAGGGAGTCATATATATGGTGATGGACAAATAAAAATGTACAACCCCAAATTTCACAATGTTAAAAACTATTAAAACATCAATTAAAAAAAAAGATTCCAAAAGATGATAGGACTGGTCAACTGAAAAAAAAAAGATCTATATTTTACATTTTCTTTTGAAAACAAAAATTAAACATGTGAAATATTTGAAGAAAAAAAAAAAAAAGTAAAAAGAGGGGCTGGCCCCATGGTGTAGCGGTTAAGTGCTCGCGCTCCGCTGCTGGTGGCCTGGGGTTCAGATCCCGGGTGTGCACCTACGCACTGCCTGTCAGGCCATGCTGTGGCAGCGTCCCACATAAAGTGGAAGAAGAAGAGCACAGATGTTAGCCCAGGGCCGGTCTTCCTCAGCAAAAAGAAGAGAGGAGGATTGGCATGGATGTTAGCTCAGGGCTGATCTTCCTCTCTCACTCACACACACACACACACACACACACACACACACACAC